GTCTAGGAGGAGAAGCGGTAACGGTGACATGGCGGCGGAGCCGGCGGAGCCGCAGGAGCCGCAGGAGCCGGCGGAGCCGGCGGAACATACGGGTCGGGACTAAAACCATGGGTACCGCCAGCGCCTACGCTGGTGGTACAATAACGCATATGAAATTAATCTCCAAGCTGAGGAGAGCGACGCAGACGAAACCTTGAGACAGGAGGCCCCCCGTAGCTAGCTCCGCCCACCGTAACAGACATCGGACAATAGAGAGGCTTGCGTGTAATCTCCTTCTGTTATAACTCCTTGGTGATACATACCTGAACTACTGGTACCTGATTAACAGAATAAACATTGTACTACAGGATGACAGAATGTAATTTCTCTTTTGTTAAACTGACAAAAAGTTGGCAAACAGACTGTAGGGATATCATTAATGTTAGTTACTGCAACTCTCTCTCTCTCTCTGGGGTGGGGTGGGGTTTCTCTCAGTGACCTCTAAGAAGGTAGCTAGAGTAGCCAGGGGGCGACAGTAACACTCGTAGCGTCATTTTCTGAAAAAAACTCTCCAGTGCGACGCTAAAATATTTTATTATTTGCCAGCCTAGAACAGAATTCCGGATTTAAGATTTTTCTCTAGATTGGGATATATCATTATTTTATGTATTATCAAGACTTTTGTAACAATATGCTTGAACCAATAAAAGTGATTGCAAGATAACTTTATACTGCATATAAATTTTAAAAAAATGAAGTGTTTTGCTCGATGAGTGCGAATTCCTATAAAACTCCAGCTAAATGAAACTCAACATTCACTTCGGGACTAGCTTTATTCAAGAAGTTATAACTTCTTGCTTTATTGAAATAAGTTGACATTGGTGTAGTGAAGTTTTGCCTGTTGTTTACAGAGCCTCCAGCAGAGGGCGTCACTATTGACCTCCACGCAGTTGTTACAAATCAAACAGGCAGAACAGGTAACGCTCTTCCTTTATATTCATATTTTTACGTGGTTTTTATATTTGACTACTGTTCAATGTCAATGTCTCACCCAAGCACGAAAGAATTCATAATATTGCAGTATTCTTTAATTAGTCCGTTACGTTCTCCATTACTTCCCGCGTTATGACAGACTAGACAGGTAAGGGCTTCATCTTTATCTTATAATTGTGATAGATTCAACCTCCGTGGGATGGTGTTGATTTATTCACGGAGTTAAAGATACAAATAACTTTTATAAGACCCGTTTTTTCAAGTCGAAAGAAGTGCCCGAAATACGCACGGGTTTCAGCTTTTCAGGTTTCAGAGACTAACGTGACTCACAAAAGACGCGATACTTTATGTGTACGATTCTACACACTTTTAGCCTTTTCCTCCTTCAAGTGCTTACATTTAAATAAATGTATGAATATCCTGGTTGTGACTGGTGTCTAAAATCAGATACAGCAGTTAAAACTTTAAAAAAAGCCTCTTTATAACTTTTTTTAGTTTACAGATAAAGATGATTTTTTTTATTTTAAATAGGGGATGTGATGAGACAAAACGAGGTCCTCCGCCGGGAGAATCAGACAGTTGCCGAGTTACGTGAAGGGCAGAGAAGCCAAGCAAGCCTCGAGGACCACGGCACTCGCCAGTATTGGTTGTGTGGGTGTAACATCTTTATGTCCTCACAACACAACACAGATTAGAACTATGACGATTTCGGATCTTTTCTCTTGACTTTAAAAAAGGATCTAACTTTTTGAGTTTAAAGGGAAAATAACTCTTCATTTTGGCCAAAAAATGATTTTTTCTGTAGTAAACAACAATTTTCCCATACTTACCAATGGTTAATGAATCCATTTTACATTCAAAGTTAGTCCCTGGTTTTCTTCTAAAAAGTTTGGTTTTTTGTTAAAACCTCTTGAGAGATTATAACAGAGTATAGCCATCAATGGAGGTCACGTGATCTGAAGACAAGCTCAGATATCAGAATAATAGCTATAACTGCTGTTTTTGTCGTAAAAACAGAATATATTATATTACTGTGAGTTATTCACAATGTTTTTATTGTGAAATATAGATCTCATACGAAGAGTTATTATCCCTTTAACCTGTAATAATCTGGTTTTTTAATTCAAATATTCTGGTATTAGACCTAAATTTGACCTTTGACAATAGTCACAACAGTGTTATATAACACACCGCGGGCGACAAGAAACCGAGGATACCTGTATCAGAGTCCGCTTAGCCATGGACATAATGTCCATGGTACAATATTACAATTTTCAGGCACCTTCTTTAGAACAAGTAAATGGTGCGTTAGTTGTCAATTTTAAGTAACTTTTACTTTTTAAAAAAGTAATTTTTATGCAATAAGTAACAGCAATTTCAAGTAAATTTCTGCAAATGGCACGTGAAAATTCTGATGTGGGGAGTTCATTCAGTGAAAGTTGAACAGTAAAGGTATTTTTTTCTAATTCTCTCTATTTTGCCTTACATGTAGTTCTCTCTCAAACATGGGGTACATGCAACAACTTGACCCCCCCCCCCCCCATTTGGACCCACTTTTTCATTCATATCCCTGGACAGGGGTTAGTAATAAGTTTTATTGGAAACTGAAGACAAACACACACTGGTACGAGTTCATATACGGCATTTTATATCAAAACAAAACAGCATTGTACAGACATTTTTAAAACATAGCAACATCAGAGATTTGGCTGACTGTATAATTTTTAGATTATACATAATGTTACTAGATTCATGATCAATATTGACATCAAAATCTCTCAAAAAATGGACCAAAATATAATCTCTGTATGCAACTGTTTAATCTTCTCTTGGAAATAGGTCAATATCCATCACTCCACTTTACCATAAATACATTTTAATTAATCACTTAAAAAGATAAATAAATTAATAAAACATTTCTCACAAATCAATGTGGAAAAATAGATACTAGAGAAAAAAAGGTTATACAATGTTTATAAGTAGATCCCACTGCCTGCTTTACTATGACACATTTTATGCAAATGGCTGATCCTGAAAACAATCCATCATATTTCAACAATCTGTTTCCCTTCTCAATCTCTGCATCCATCTGCTTTCCTTCTTTACTCAGAAGTAAAAATCAATATTATATAATATGACATATAAATTGTTTAAATTTCGTGAATAAATAACCTATGGCATTTTAAATACCTAAAAGAGGCCATTAATTCATCTTAATGTGAATCAGGACAAGATGACCCCAAATTATGCACAACTTATACCCAATAGGGGGCATTATCCAATTATGATACAAGATGATCCTGTCCCAAGTTTTCGGAAAATCTTCCCAGAATGCTGTTCATTAGTTCAGGTGAGCCGCATGGAGAGCCTGACCCAAGTATGTAATAAACTTATGGACATCTTGAAATGAGTTGTAAAGATGAACAGGAGCGATACGAATGACGTTGGGCTTGCGTTCATCACACTGAAATTATAGAGATAAAAAGTTTTAAAATGACAATTCCTCTGTGGCTGAATGTCCCATCATTTTCAGATGTTTAAGGTAATGTCCCTATGATATTTCTGTCTGATAGAATTTCTTAAGTTTTTTTTTTTTTTTTACATGTACAGGTACCATTGATATGTTTACATTAGATTTAAAAATGATAGGTACCCATGTTGTGAATTTGACTTCAATTACTATATAACCCAATGACAAATTGTTTTGGCATATTTTTTTTCAATTTTCTACACAGATTGAGTGCTTTCATAGTTCATACAGCCTACACATAGACTTCAGAACATATGACACTAAAAGATAAAAAAGTGCTAAGCACCCATGTAAATGCTGTTGCTTTGGCAACATGTTTAATGAAAAAACATTTTAATTGTTTTCCTTGTATGCTCTCCAAGCTTTTTATTACTAAGAGACAATTGGAAGTATTTGGTCAAAAAGAGGGATGGGAAAGCATGTTTTGGCAAATAACCATATACAAAAGCATAGCACCAGTTGTTGTTGGGGTTGGAAAAGCAGAATAACTTGGATCCTAGCTTGTAAATAACCCTGGATGTATCTTCTCAAAATGTTTGAAATTTTGTAGAACTGCAAGAGAAGACTCCTACTCCAATAAGCAAAGTTTGTAAGCCAAAAAAGACCCAAGTAATTATCTGCTTATCTTTTGTTAAATATAAAATACACTGAGAAAGTTCAATTTTGAGAAAGCATTTGTGAAGCAATTTTAAGCACCGTTTTTTACTTCATCTTCTACGTATTGCCAGACACCAGCACTTCTGATGCCATGCAACCCAAAAGACACGTGATGGGACATTGGGACATTACCTTAAATAACTGTAATCAAAAACGACAACAATGAACTAATTAATCCAAATCTTACTCCCTAAGAAATTTAATGGACAACACGTCAATTTTCAAGATTAATCATTTTCAGACACTGACAACACTTAATGCATTCTCTAACAAGACGTCAATCTAAAATTATTCAAAATTTTTGAATCAACATTTAATACGTCAGTAGCACTAAGATAATGAAATCAAAGGTGGATAATTATTACTTCATAATGGTCAAATTTATTAAGTAATAATACTAGTGCTTTTGAAATGGTCCGAATCTGACTAAGGAACGTGTGAGGGGGATTAAGGAATGAGATCATCAACACAGATTGACCAGGTGTCCAGTTATTTGTCATACATGTAACATACATAATTGTACTAATTGTAAAGTCTACTGAACGTGTATGAAGTTTAAACTTAAAGTAAAAATATCATATTATTATTATTATTGCTTAACCACTTAACGTGAAATCAGTCCTTGTATGCTCTTGAACAAATATTGTTACATAATAATAATATCTTTTATTTTGAGTCTTAATTCCAAATCTGTTCAGTAATGTAAGATCATTAACATTTGTGATTTGAAGTTGCAGATTCAGTGATATGTGAAGTTCCCAGAGCTTTTAGATTGATCTATCCCCGCAGGGAGTCTCACTAGATTACTGTCAGATAATCCAGCTTAAATGTCTGTCACGCCTACTATAAGCAGTAAGAGGGTAATTAACTTCTTGACTGACAGCTATTTAGCTTGAACCCCCAGGGAGTTAGGTCGATCTAAAGTAGATCGATCTAATCTCTGGAAATGGGGTCTTAGACCATTACTAGAGCTCTAGTGTTACCCTAATTACAACACAGTATAATGCAGCTAGATGAACCAAATACATTTACTTTGCTATTAAATCACGATGTTCAAATTAATAGAGTTATTAATGTACTTACCACCACTCCTCGTTTGGTCAGTTCCTTGAACATGGCCTCTATGGAACATGAGAAAGCCAGAGAGAGCTGACAACCTCGCTGCTCAGGATCTGCTGGTGTCAGTATCTCCACATAGGGCTTCTGACCTGAATTCTGGCAGCCATCTTTAGGCTTGGGGTAGAGGCGCTGGAGTAGCAGTTCCAGATATCCCGTCAGCAGCTTGGACTTGGCACGAAGATCCTCCATGTTGGTTTTGTCAAAGATCTGAAAAGGAAAGAAGAGAAGATTGGATGGAAATCTGTAAGAGCTTAGAGATAATTTAGTGAACAAATATGTTACATGTTGTAAATTGATGATAGATATTTAAGCTGGTTAGTTGATAGCAATTTAGTGAGACTCCCCAGGGAGTAAGATCGATCCAGATGGATTGATATAGGCATGGGAACCCAGCCTTTACTTTGTGGTTAAAGAGCTTTTAATTTCTATTGTCTACCAAACTGAAATAAAAATCAGACAAGTTGCTAATATTACCATTACCCACAAGAATTATGTAATTTATCTTGTTTGAAGATTTTCAAGATTGACCAAAAGAAAAAAATAACAATCATTAACATTGTATCCATCTATTTTATAGACATATGTTTAAACTGGTCTCCATGACAGCACAGAGTAAAAATAACAATAATAAACACTTTATCTATCTATTTTACAGACATACATTTAAACTGGCTTCCATTGCAGCACAGAGTAAAAAGGGTGGATTGGATATCCTGTAGCCATATGCCCCTGGGGTCAGGTCCATCTCTGGAAAATGAGATTAAAAGTATATATATATATATTTCTTTATATATATATAGTAAGGTTTGTGGTGGGGGAATCCACGACTCCTTTCTGTATCCTTTCTGGGCTACATGTATATCCTCCTCAGGGAGGCGAGATTGTTTACATATTTTAATGACCAGGTGTCTAACTATTTGTTATGTATGTAATGCACATAATTGTTAAGTCTACTGAACATATATCTATATGGAATTCAGACTTAAAATAAATACATTAAAATAAAAATATAAAATATTTCTGTGCCACTTAAATTAATTTCAGGAGTAGGTCAAAATAGTGACAGCACATTAAGATCTCTAAAACAATAACTTGAAGCATCCAGATTTTAAAGTCGAACTAGAGGATCAGAGAAGCGGTGCCACCTCCAAGTATTGTACTTCCAGCTGGAGCAAGCGCATTCACAGTAAAAAAAAAAGGACACCACCTCCAGTGTTCTACTTGACATGCTTTACAAATAGCAGTAAACAAAAGGTCTCATTTCTTTCTTGAAAACTATAATTAATGACAAAGTCATGGGGAAAAGTAGGAGGTCAAATCCAAATTCGTGAAGTGCAGTTCATGGTGAAAAGTAGGTCAAAGGTCAATTTGAAGGTCACAGTTAATATTACCAATATATGACTTCCTATTCAACTTTAATAGTAACTATGGACCTATCTCTATCAGTTTTGAAGATATAAGGGACTAAATGTTATAATTTTAGAGTTACAATAATGTGCCATAAATTTCCTACAGAAAAAATTAACTAAAATAAAGAAAAGGTCATTTGGGTTGAAATTCTTGAAATGGGAGGTGCTCAGAAGTTCCAGATGTTCAAATTTCATGAAATAATGTCATTTTTGACCACAAAATGTCTGCCTCGCCAAGCCTTATGTTTTATTTTCCAGGGGTTCAAAATTTATTATCCATTACCGTACTGCACATTTTGCTTTCACCACCAATATGTACTTTTTAATACAGCGTAACTCGAAAACTGTATGAATTACAAAGAAACAGAGACCACCCCCAGTGTTGGGCTTTACATGCTCTACAAAATGCAAAAAAGAATAGGTCTCTAGATTAAACGGTTCCTGAATTAGAGACAGTTTTCAGTTTCGGTATCTTATGGCCACTACTCCCGTGAAAATGCACTGATTGACCCCAAATTCACGGAGACGAAAGATGATCCGAAGGGCAACACTTTCCAGTAATATTATTGGTTAAGTCTGTGTAGTGTCTGAATAACAGTGCAAATAATTTTTTTTTCGTAAAAAATTTCATTTTTTTGAAAATTTTGGTCCGTTTGAAACAAAGGTCAAATCCAAGGGCATATTTGAAATCTACACATATGACTTTTGGAAAGCCGTCTGTAGAAATTTTTCCTATAATTCCTTCCGTAGGGTAGATAATTATCATTTTATTTTGCCATTTTTGGACAAGGGTGCATTGCAATAAGCGCCACACCTAGATCCCAATACCGATAAAGCCCAAATTTTACGTGGAACGAGATGAGATTATAGGTGACCTAAGTCTAAAAGATGGGTACGCAGGCCCTTGTAGACTAGGAGAAGCGGTAACGATGACATGGCGGTGGAGCCGTAGAAGCCGGCGGAACATACGGGTCGGGAATAAAACCGTCATTCAGGAACACAAAAAGATTGTGATTCAAGTATTACAAAACTAAATTAATTGGGACAAGTGTTCATAACAGCCCCATTATTCAGTGGAATATATAGGATATAAAATAATTACAAAGACAAAAGAGGGGGTTCCTATCATAAGAGTTCCCTGTACCCACACAAGAAATCTACGTCGACTTATAAAGCATGCTGTAGAGATGAAACATCTAACTGCACGAAGAATTGCAAAGATAGCAGGTATCTGTGTTGCTATGACTAAAGCAATCTTACCTGGTAAACTATTGCTAGGAAATACTTGTTTACTAGCCACACATGAAGGCTGGAATGATGTACTTACATTAGCTGAAGGAACAGTTAAAGATTTATTATGGTGGAAGGAAAAAACAATTTCCTGGAACGGTGCTCCCATTTTCTGCAAACCAGTGGATCCTCAAATGGCAACCGATGCCAGCCACACAATATGGGGAGCTATACTAAATGGTCAAGAGGCCCATGCAGCACATAGGGCAGCACATGTATGGTCGTGCCCAGAAATGAGGAAAGAGCTCACAATTCCAGTGATAGTGAAGATTCTGACCACGTTCTCTCACTACAAATGCGACAGGTGTGACAGGCCAGCACATTCAGTTTGCATGGATTGTGACAGAAATCTCAACCGAAAATGCTATAAAACTACACATAAAACTTCAGCTAGAAGAAGACTTTTAATTCTCAAAATACCATATAAACCTACTCCAACGAGGACGAAACCAGTTACACTTAGAAATCTGAGATAAGTACATGATCACTACCTGAAGGTATTTCAATATACAAGAAAACAAAAATTTGTTAGCCTCACCGACGCCCTGAAGGCTACAGGAATAAAACGCCAGACACTAAAAGATAGACTCAGCAAAAAACACCAGCTCTTAAAAGGCATTTTATGTTAAAAATAACATATGAATCTACCAAAACAAGAGTGAAGCCAGTTACACTCAGAAATATGAGTTAAGTATGATGATGACAATGACTCTGGTTACATAATTTCCTTGAGTCGCTTAGTGAAGAAAATAAAAGAAAAATAAAGTGGAGTATGGTACAGGTGGAAGAAATGTGCATATATATTTTAGACAAGTTGGAATGTCTGGTTAGAATGTTGAGAATGGAAGTAATAATTAATTACCTTACAACACGCAAATAACCATATCTGCAGTGTGTGATCAAATATAAAGAATGAATGATGCAAGGTTGTCACTGTTCAACTTTCAGAGAAATTCTGGTAGAATGGTAAATTTACCTCAGAATTGAACCATAAATCAATGTAGAGGGGGTCTACCACAATGTGATACATGTGGAGAAAGAGGTCATGTTCAAAGGGATTGTAAAAACTAGAGGATCAGAGAGGCGATACCGCCTCCGAATATTGTACCACCAGCTGGAGCAAGCGCATTCGTATAGAGCCCCACATATACAAAATAAGGAACACAGCCACCAGTCTTGTGCTTTGCCAAGCTGTAAAAATGCAATCAACAAGAATTTTCAAAATATGCAAAAAATATATATATATAACTAAAAATGGTACAATCAAAGTTAAGTTCATCGTAAGGTAGGTCAAAGGTCAATTCCAAGTAAATTGCCAGTATATGACTTCCTATTCAACTTCAATAGTAACTATGGGCCTATCTCTGCCAGGTTTGGAGTTAAAAGAAAAAGAAATTAGCAGAGTTCAGTTCATGATAATAAGTAGGTCAAAGGTCAATTTCAAGGTCACACTTAGATTGGCAGTATATGACTTCCTATTCACGTTCAATAGTAACTATGGACCTATCTCTGCCAGTTTTGGAGATAAAGGAGAAGCAAANTGCCAGTTTTGAAGATATAAGGGACTAAATGTTATAATTTTGGAGTTACAATAATGTGCCATAAATTTCCTACAGAAAAAATTAACTAAAATAAAGAAAAGGTCATTTGGGTTGAAATTCTTGAAATGGGAGGTGCTCAGAAGTTCCAGATGTTCAAATTTCATGAAATAATGTCATTTTTGACCACAAAATGTCTGCCTCGCCAAGCCTTAAGTTTTATTTTCCCGGGGTTCAAAATTTATTATCCATTACCGTACTGCACATTTTGCTTTCACCACCAATATGTACTTTTTAATACAGCGTAACTCAAAAACTGTATGAATTACAAAGAAACAGAGACCACCCCCAGTGTTGGGCTTTACATGCTCTACAAAATGCAAAAAAGAATAGGTCTCTAGATTAAACGGTTCCCGAATTAGAGACAGTTTTCAGTTTCGGTATCTTATGGCCGCTACTCCCGTGAAAATGCACTGATTGACCCCAAATTCACGGAGACGAAAGATGATCCGAAGGGTAACACTTTCCAGTAATATTATTGGTTAAGTCTGTGTAGTGTCTGAATAACAGTGCAAATAATTTTGTAAAAAATTTCATTTTTTTGAAAATTTTGGTCCGTTTGAAACAAAGGTCAAATCCAAGGGCATATTTGAAATCTACACATATGACTTTTGGAAAGCCGTCTGTAGAAATTTTTCCTATAATTCCTTCCGTAGGGTAGATAATTATCATTTAATTTTGCCATTTTTGGACAAGGGTGCATTGCAATAAGCGCCACACCTAGACCCCAATACCGACAAAGCCCAAATTTTACGTGGAACGAGTTGAGATTATAGGTGACCTAAGTCTAAGAGATGGGTACGCAGGCCCTTGTAGACTAGGAGAAGCGGTAACGATGACATGGCGGTGGAGCCGTAGAAGCCGGCGGAACATACGGGTCGGGAATAAAACCGTCATTCAGGAACACAAAAAGATTGTGATTCAAGTATTACAAAACTTCGGTTGGAAAATTAATTGGGACAAGTGTTCATAACAGCCCCATTATTCAGTGGAATATATAGGATATCAAATAGTTACAAAGACAAAAGAGGGGGTTCCTCTCATAATAGTTCCCTGTACCCGCACAAGAAATCTACGTCAACTTATGAAGCATGCAGTAGAGACGAAACATCTAACTGCATGAAGAATTGGAAAGACTGCAGGTACCTGTGTTGCTATGACTAAAGCAATCTTACCTGGTAAACTATTGCTAGGAAATACTTGTTAACTAGCCACACGGGAAGGCTGGAATGATGTACTTACATTAGATGAGGGAACAATTAAAGATTTATTATGGTGGAAGGAAAAAACAATTTCCTGGAACGGTGCTCCCATTCTATGGAAACCAGTGGATCCTCAAATGTCAAGAGGCCCATGCAGCACATAGGGCAGCACATGTATGGTCGTGCCCAGAAATGAGGAAAGAGCTCACAATTCCAGTGATAGTGAAGATTCTGACCATGTTC